ACCTCCCCAGTTGATTTGAACCTGTAGCCAAAGTTGAGAGCGTCAGATTACAGCAAGGGACCCTCGTAATCTAAAATTACCCCGTGTCAACACTCCAAAGTCTCATCTAACAATCTCCTACCTGATCGGTGTGGTAGTGTGAACATTATCCTGAATTTCCAGGACTTACAGGCTTCCTACATGCAAATATTGGCACAACCATCACTGAGTCCACTAAACTCCCTGGCTAGCTGGGTTGATCTTAACCAGGGGTCCTCAAACTTTTTAAACAGGGGGCCAGTTCACTGTCCCTCAGACCATTGGAGAGCCGGACTGTGGACCCTGGGATGAGTTGGCTGCTAAGCAGGACAGGTATCGGTGGCAAAAACACCCGGTGGGCTGGATAAATATCCTAGGCTGGCTGCGTGTGGCCCGTGGGCCATAGTTTGAGGACACCTGCCCTCAAATGTTTTCAAGAGGTTTATTTTTGCTAAAATACTTCTACTTTCCTAAAGCAGAATTTCAGGCCATAGCATGTTAATAGAAAGGTTGGTTTGTTTATGGAATTTTCAAGTCGTTTTTTGCAGATGGTGCAAAAAACCATCTTTTTTTATTATATGGTCTTTTTTTATTAAGATTATGGATTAGACTGAGCCGTGAGGATTAAAAAGAGAACAAAAGTCACTGTGGAGAAGAATTTGTAAATTTGGTGGAAGCTTGCTTTTGTCATTCCTAAACCAATATTAACAAGGAAAATTTACTTTAAAAATAGAACGATATAAATACTCTGGAAAACAAAAACATGGTAGACAAGTAGTAAAATTTTTCAGCTTTTTCTCATAAAAAAATGTATATGAATATAAACCACTATGTAGCTATTCAAATCACTATAAAGAGAACAAAACATGAATACACAAAATCAGAAACAGTTTGGAGGAAATAACCAAATATCCAGAGGAAATTAAATATTTCATTCTTCTTTATGAAAAATTAATTGAAACCCTATATGAAATTGATGACTTCTAGGCAAATATAAATGGCCAGAAATGATCTCAGAAGAGACAGAGAAACTTCAATAGATCAATTATTAATATGAATTTATAAAGTTGATAAATAGCTAGTTCTCAAAAAACTACCAGGCCCAGAAATTTTAATAGTTTAAGTCAATCAAATCTATAAAGACCAGTTGACCACGGCTGTTTAAACTATTCAAGAGTGTAGAGAAGCAAAACCTCCAAATTATTATCTAAATATAGAATATCATTGATGACAAAACCTGTAAAGATACATGAATCACAAAAGAGAACTATGGACCAGTATTAATAAAAATTTCCTAGACAAAATGTTCTTAAATAGCATCCATTAGAACAGAGGTGTCCAACCTTTTGTCTTCTCTAGACCACAGAAGAGTTGTCTTGGGCCCCATAACTAAACACACAAACACTGATGAAAGCTGATGAGCGAAAAGGAGTTCCATGGATAATTTCTGTGATATCTGCCACCACAGATAAGCAAAAAAGTCCTCATATAATAATCCTAATTTTGCAGCAGCCCATTCAGAGAGTCTTTTAAAATTGTCAAGTAGGTCTCAAACTATGATCACTAACATAGAAAATATACATATCTAAGTAACAAAACCATCTTTTAAAAATATTTTTTGTATAAAAGTAAAAGCAGGCAACATAAAACTAGTGGGATATTTAAGAAACTAATGCATCAATATCTTGTTTGGTGGAAGTATTTGCAATTCTCAGTGAGTTCTCACGGTACACGTCAAATATTTTGGTTCTAATTTTACTCTTAATGTGCTTCATTCTTGAAAATAGTTGCTCAAAAATGTAGGTGCTTAGACTTAAGACCCCTAGATAAAAGAGCCCACATGGAGACTCCGGAGAGAGTTCTTAGTTATTTCCCCCTTCCGGAAGCTCTGGTGCTTTTTATTTCTTCTGTATTCCTCTAATAAAAGTCCTATCTTGGGCGGCGCCTGTGGCTCAGTGAGTAGAGCGCCAGCCCCATATACCAAGGGTGGCAGGTTCAAATGGGGCCCTGGCAGAACTGCAACCAAAAAATAGCCAGGCATTGTGGCAGGTGCCTGTAGTCCCAGCTACTCAGGAGGCTGAGGCAAGAGAATCACTTAAGCCCCGGAGTTGGAGGTTGCTGTGAGCTGTGATGCCACAGCACTCTACCCAGGGCGACAAAGTGACTCTGTCGCTACCCCCCAAAAAAAAAAAACCCACTAGGGGGAAAAAATGTAGGTGCTGCAAAAAAGTGTGATTTGTCTCTGGGAAGGCAGGACCTATAATAGTCCACTAAAGAGACACCATCAAATCTTTCTTTAAGTTGGATGTCAGATTGTGGTTCAGTGCATTCCATTTGAAAATTGGCAGGTAATGTATTTATGGCAACAGAAAATGGAGTTGCAAATGCACCAAAATATTATTTCCCCAGAAATCGTGAAATCTGTTTTCAAATTATTGTATTAAATCACAAAGCAAGGTTGCATATTTTTTACTATTTGCAAGACTGTGTTTAGCCAATGTGTAGAAATGCTTCAAATTGTTTGCCTTATTTTGAGCTTGCCATAATTTCAGTTTCATTTGGAATGCTTGAATCCATTTGGAATGGTTCGAAACATTGTATTGACAAGTTGGTTTTCACTTTGAAGACGCATGTTTAACTAATTTAAATGAGCATTTAGATTCACTAACCTTGCTAAATCTGTAAGCCAGTTTTCATCATCACATTCTGGCACACACTTGGTTTTTGATACCACAAACAACTTGATAACATGTAGCAAATCATAAAATCTTTCCAACATTTGGCCTTGACTTAGCCATCTTGCCTCCAAAAAGTAAATGATGTCACTAGAGTCAGTAGCAATACTTTTAACAAATTCCTGGAATTGGTGGTAATCCAATTCCTTTACCCTTAGGAAATCCAGTCTTGATGATTTGTATAACATTATCTATTTTTAAAGCTTGTGTGTGTAAATTTTTTTGATGTAGTATGCAATGATACTTCATCAAACCTGAGTCTTGGGTGGCAACTGCATTATCTTCTATTAATTTTATAAGTCTCTCTCTTTTACCTACTATTGCTGGAGCACCAGCAGTGTCTATACCAGATATATTGACAGTGGACAAAGAAAATTGCCTTACCATATTTTTTCCTGCTTTATATAAATGTTTTAATTTAGTTGTGTCTTTTAATGACACTACAAAAGTCATTTTTTAGTGACATTATATTCATGGATGATACCTAAATAAAAATGGCAACTAGAACCTTATTTGTAGCATCAGAGCTGTCAGCCACTGTCAAAGCACAAAATTTTAAATTAGTTTGGAGCTTTACTCTCCAAACTTCTTTCCATAGATTTTCTAATTTCTTCAGGTTGCCTAGCTAGTCTGGTGAGACAAACTGATTTTAGAAATATCCCCCCTTTTGGGAGGGAAAAATTCTATCTGCCATACTTTTCATATTGCTTAATAAAATCACTATCAGTAAATGGTTTTCAATCTTTGGCTAGTAAATATACTACCACATAACTAGTTTTTACCATGCAATCTGTTTGAGGTAAATTTTTCAAAATATTTTAGTTGAAAAGACTCTTTTTTTCAGTTCCATTATCTTGCCTTATGATACAATCCATCATATACATTGAACCTGGCAGCATGGTTTTACACATAATGCCTTTCCAAATCATACTCTTTGAAAATTTGTACAGATTCCCTACAAATTAAGCAAAGCACCTTTCTGTTTGCCTTGACAAAAATGTAGTCGTCCACTTTTCATTGAACAATCTTTTTTCATCTGTGATTTTCATTTTTTAAGATTCTGTTTTCTTTTGAGATGTTTTAGAAGCCAGGCTGGGATTTAAAAAATAGTAATAGCTGGGCAAGGTGGCTCATGCCTGTAATCCTAGCATTCTGGGAGGCCCAGGCAGGTGGATTCGCCTGAGCTCAGGAGTTCAAGACCGGCCTGAATCTCTAAAATTAGCTGAGCTTTGTGGTGGTACCTGTAGTCCCAGCTACTCGGGAGGCTGAAGCAGGGTGGCTTAAGCTATGACACCACGGCACTGTACCGAGAGTAACAAGGTAAGACTCTGTCTCAAAAAGAACCATAACAACAGACTGGGGACTATATTTACTTCTATTATGAAAATTAATTGAGAGGAAAACAGAAAGCAAGGCCTGGTCCCTTCCACGTCTCAGCTGCTAATGCAGGTGAGGCAGAGGCCCATTGTAAAGCGCGAGGGGAGATGCGTGAGGCACCGCTGAGGTGTGAAAATGTCTTAATAATCAAATTAGAATGCTCACCTGCCTGCCAGCTAATAGTGAACGCCAAACGCTGCAACTGTAGGTTAAAATATTAATGGTAATTCCTGCCTCGCCACGTCACCAGAGAGCATGTGTAAGGTCTGCCAGCGTCAATTCCACTGTCTGCACTTTGACGACAACACCCTGCGGGCTGCAGGTCGGTAAAAGGGAAGCCGCACATGCGCACAAATAGAGCGCAGGTGTGTTTACGTCACTTTACGACACCTCGTAGTCAGCTACAAAGTTCGTGCTGGGGGACTGCGCAGCAAAGTTCCACCCGAAAATCACACCTCGTAGTCAGCTACAGAGTTCATGCTGCAGAACTGCGCAACAAAATTTCACCAAAAAATCACAAAAAAACCCTCAGTGTTTTAAGTGAGTTTATGATTCTCTGTTGGGCCGCGTTCATAGCCATCCTGGACTGCATTTGGCCTATGGGCTGCGGGTCGGACACCTTGCAGGTTGGACACCCTGCTTTAGACTCTAGAAATAGATTCCAAGAAAGTAAAGGAAACCTAGTGATATAATTCCCTATATTTTGCAAAGAAGTAAAACCCCTTAATCATCTCCACTGGAGCTGAAAAAGAATTTTATAGATTTTTTTGTATTTGATGTTCTATTTGTATATGTGTCATGTCTGCTCATTAATTTTAATTTTTTTTTTAAGGTATACAAACCTTTTATTAACAGACAAGGACCACAGACTTACTTCTTCTTGGACATACCCACGATACGCCTCGGCGGCCAGTTGTCTTGGTGTGCTGGCCTCAGACACGAAGGTCCCAGAAGTGGCACAGCCCTCTATGGGCCCGAATCTCCTTTAGGGGCTCCAAGTCTTCCTGGGGCTTGTTGTCCAGGCCATTGGCCAGGACCTGGCTGTATTTTCCATCCTTTAAGTCCTTCTGTCTGTTTAAAAACCAGTCTGGGATCTTATACTGGCACGGATTCTGCATAATGGTGATCACACGTTCCACCTCATCTTCTGTGAGTTCTCCTGCCCTCTTGGTGAGGTCCATGGCTGCTTTCCTCAACACTACATGAACACATCTTCGACCCACCTCCTTAATAGCGGTGATGGCAAAGGCTATTTCCTGCCACCCATTGATGTTGGTGTTGAGTACTCACAAAATGTGCTGGAACTTCTCAGGGATCACCAGAGATATGGCTGTGGCACAACCAGATGCGTGTAAGCCTCCTATGGAAGAGACAATGGAAGTGACCAATTTTAATTTTTCTTTTAGAGACTGGGCCTCACTCTGTCACCAAGGCTGGAGTGCAGCAGTGCGATCATAGCTCACTGTAACTTCAAACTCCTAATGATGACTTAAGCCCTGCCACTGGCTGGGAGAATGAGTAGAATCTGTAGCATTCTCTATTATAATTTTGTTCCTGTTTATTTTATTTATTTCGATTTATTTTTAAATTTTCTTTTTGTTTCACTGGAAAGGAAAGATACTGCTCAGTTTTAAGCATTAAAAGTCTATACAAGTTGCTTTGTTACAATAAAACTAAACACAGGTGCACAAAAGATTTGATACTTTTCTCTCAGAATATAGAGACTTTCTCTGACCTTCCGAGTTTGACTTCCATGACATCATCATCAAACTGTTCCCCTAATGTCATGGTTTTTGATACACACTTTGCAGAATGACCTCAGGGCTGTGTGGATTAGTAAAGGGATTTGAATCGATGTATTAAATGTCTTCATGGCTACAAAACTGGCACAATTTGGCCCTCGGTTTCTGAAAATATTCACGTCTTTTTGGATACTCAGAACTCAGTTCGGAATATGTCATGCTCTTGCTTTTTAATCTCCAATTGGTAGTTTTTAAAATGGGCCTTTTAGCTGGATATAAAATAATGCCTGCCACCACCGTCTAAGAGCCCTCGTGCTCTAAAGCCAACTTATGTGCATGGGGCAGTTGCTGGCCTATGTTCATTGGCCCTATAAAATGTGGCTGGAAAGAGAGCCTCTTGGGTAGAAAGGATGTGCTGGTGTTAGGAGTCACTTTAAGTCCTAGCTCTCTATAATGAAGCTCACAAATGTGACTGTGAATCTGGGTGGCACGATGGACTGTGCCTGCTCAATGCCTGCTTAGAGAAGCTCCCTAATGCATATCCTTTTTAATTCTGTAAAATATAGTATCAGAAACTAAATGCCACTTGTTCAGCGGTGAATTAATGGACATCAAAGTTTTTTGATGTATAAAACTTTATAAATGAAACTATTTCTTCAATAGACGAAGTGTGACAAATGCCTACCTATAATAGTATGCAATTTCGGCACAGATCTGTTTAGTAAATGTATCACTATGTACGAGTCAGGAATCTTGCTCCAATAAAGGAACATAAAGATTAATATATGTATATATATGAAATATGTTAATATTGGGGACTTTTTTAGGTTTTTGCTGTCACAGCCAAGTGTAGATCCTTTTCCCTATAATAAAATTATGAAGGCACTTATCTTCCCTTCCACTACACTTAGAGTTTTATTTTTTTACATTTAAAATTTTGACCATCTGGAATTTATTCTGGTGTAAGGAAAGAGATAGGAATAAAAGAAATTCTTTATCTACTTGGCTTACCAATTGCCTTAACATTTTCCCCACTTTGAATTGTCACTTTTATCATATACTAAATCACTCCTAGCTCTATTTTTAGATTCTTTACTCTGTTCTGCTCTATTTATTCATGGTCAGTAGCAAAGTGTTTTAATATTTGAACTTATATAGTATTACTATATAATATAGTATTTAAAGTATCTGGTAAAGCTGGTTTCCTTCTTTGTTTTCAAAAATTTCCTGGCCATTTTTGAATATATTTTTCGTATGAACTTAAGAATCAGCTTTTTTTAGGGCTTCTTACTAGTCCTCTTCTCTTTCCTGACGCAAAACAAAAATTGTGTTGTTTTATTGGGATAAAACTACACAATAGTTTTAATAGGTAAAATTAAATGTATACATATATATAGGAAATTTACATTTTATAAAATTGAGGTGTAAGACGCAATATTTCCTTTCATTTGTCTTCTTCACATCCATCAGAATTTTGCCTTTTCATTTACATCCTACATGCTCCTTGTTAGAGTATTTCCTGGATGATTTGTTTCTTGTTATTGCAAGAAACAGAATTTACTTCAGAAGAGGGGCAGACGTGGTTTCACAAAAAGGAGAACAAAACTGGAAACACAGATTCTCCCAAGCTCTTTATAGAGACATTGGTGCATCCGTGTGCAAAGCTTACAAAGAGGTGGGGACAAGTGGCTGCCACCCTGAGATTCCCGGTGAGATCCCACAAGCCCACCAGGCGGGGCCCCCTCTGAAAGCCAGTCCCCTGGGTCTGTTAGAGACATGAAGGTTCCTGGGGGACATGTTTCTTGGTCCCCTCTCTTTCCAGCCAAGGAGGCTCCACCTGAAGCAGGACCCTAGCAGCCTTTTAGCCCCGTAAAGAGATTCCACTGGGTATCTACTACAGGCACTCTCAGGGTCCGGGTACTGCAGAAGGGCAAGGGGCCACAGAAGGGGAGCTGGAAGCTGTCCTTAGCTTTTCGGCCCACACCAACCCTCCTGGTGGGTCTTTGCCCTATGAATATTTAGTTGTTTTCTACCTACAGTGTTTGGAATTCTTTCCTTTGGCCCCAAAAGGCTGATGGCAGACTACTGCCCTATTTTGTCCTTTCAGTGCCATTGAGCATAAGAGGCTGTCCATGGAAGCCGGGGGAAGCTGGCCTCCTGCCACAATGGCCAAATGGCACAAAACACACAGCAGCATGATGTGCTGCTCAGGTCTCCACAGGGGCCATTGCCTGGCTTCATGGGCGAGGAGAAGGTGAAGGCATCTGAGATCAGGCTGAGAGCAGCTATGATGTGGCCTCTGGCACTGCACTAGCCCCACACAGCTCGCCTTTCTGTGAGATTTCTAAGGAAATAAACATGTAGACACATCTCTTTACTGTCTGAGAACTGTTTTTCTAACTTTTTAGCCTATAGGAAGGCCTAACAGTCAGAAGAGTTTATATAACAAAGTGGAAGGAGGCCCTGGGAGCTAAGCTGGCCTGTTCCCACTACATTTAAAAAAGAAAGAGCACTGTACTAGGAGTCCAGACCTGGGAAGCCTGATGCTCTCACTACCTAAATGTGTGACCTGCACAAATAAAAACTTTTCTGAACCTTAATATCGTCTGGGTATAAGAAAAAGAGTGGGACCAGGCATATTCCCACCTGTAAACCTCATACTTTGAGAGGCCAAGGTTAGAGGATCCCTTGAGCTTAGGACGTGGAGACCAGCCTGAGCAAGAACAAGACCCTGTCTCTACTAAAAATAGAAAACTAGCTGAACATTATGGTGGGCACCTATAGTCCCAGCTGCTTGGGAGGCTGAGGCAAGAGGATCGCTTGAGCCCAACAGTTTGAGGTTGATGTAAGTTATGATACCACTGTGCTCTACCGAGGTCACAGAGAGAGACTCTGTCTCAAAAAGAAAAAAGAAAAGTTGGGCAGTGCCTGTGGCTCAAAGGAGTAGATGCCAGCCCCATATGCCAGAGGTGGTGGGTTCAAACCCAGCCCTGGCCAAAAACTGCCCCCCCCAAAAAAAGTAAAAAGAGTGAGTACATGTATCAAATCACATGTTGCAAACTGGGGTTCACAGATGTGTTTTATTTGACCTGCTTTAAATCAGTCTTAATTAGTAGTCAAATCAGGGTGCATGCATTCTCATCTTTCTTAGAAAATTCACTCCATCTAACATCATAGGGCCAGCCTCTCCCATGGCTACAGTCGGCCACAGCTGCAGTGGCCAGGCTTCACTTCTGTAGGCCACCCCCACCCCCCCATTACAGTGTTACCAGCCTGATTATTTACCTGATCTGCTGACCCTGCAGCCATTTAGTTGCAACTCTCATTCTATGAAGTTCCTTTCGCTTTTAGAATTTAATGATTCTAAAATTTGGTCCAGCTGCCAGTCTACACAATATATTCCTTTTCCACATTACTTAAAAGCAGGGGCATTTTGAGCAACTGTGAGTGTAGCAAGCTCTGACCCCATGCTTTTCTTTTTTTTCCCCATTTGCTTATGGCGGATTATTCCTGGTTACCATGGTGATTACCATCCCTTAATGATACACTGCTACCGCATGGGGAATGTAATTTTCTTTATGCGCAAGGGAAGCAGTGGGGAACGGTAGTAAGTATAAAAGTCTCTCTCCCCCTCTGTCCCTCAGGTGCTCCCTCATTGCCACAAAGGACAAGTCAGGCCACCAATCCATCTCTCCAGGCAAGACAACATGAGAGCTGCTGTCAGAATTTAAACACCTTCCCTGGGTCCCAGTGCACATGTGGGAACCCAGAGAAAGGCTATTTTCAACCTCCAAAAAGTGTTCCGAATCAAGTCTCACGGGACTTAATTAAAATAATCAGTTTTCACAGCCAAGACTTTCAATGCTAACGTTCCCCACAAAATGAGCATCCCTGTGGAAAGAGGCCCTGCTCACACATACTCAGAGCGAGTGACACCTCTAACTGCCTGCTTTCCCTCCTCCTACGGACCCCGCGCTCTGCACCTGGCCCTTTCTGACCAAACTGAGGGCAGTGGAGGGCAGTCGACTCATGGCCTGTGATGTGGGCCAAAACTCCCTGGCCTCATTTCTGAGGTGTCAGAGGTTCTAACCATACCCAGGGAGATGGGAGACGAAGGTGTGCTCTCACTGGTTCATAAAAGCCCCCAGCATCAAGGGCTCACTCCCTGAAACTGCCGTGTGAGAGGCAAGTTGTATTGCTCGGTGCCACTCAGCCCACCAGGGATGTCAAATCCTAATTCCTAGAGTCCAGTTTTAAGTCATGGCCAAATAGAAAACGAGGGCAAACGAAAACAGCAGGACTTGAAGAAATGAGTTAAGACACTGAGTTGCCTCTGTAGGACCCACCCTTCCTTCCCTCTTTCCTGCTCCTTCAAATTCCTAAACAGTGAAAATTCCATTCAAATATGTAGCTAAAGAGATACGTGAAAACACAAGTAGAATCTAGGTGATGGGTTTCATAAATGTTGGAAAATTAAATGACTTAAGCAGAGTTCACAAACCGGGGAGATCCCAGGCCATGTAAAGCTGACAGGCATGATTTATAGGCCTTTGTGTTTTGTTGAATCATTTGCAAACATTCAAAAAAAA